CCCCCCGGCCCCGCTCCAGCACAAAGCACCCCCGCATCTGTTCCCCATTAGCCGCCGCTGCACTAAGCCACCGTGAACTCCGCTACCAGCATCGCCCTGAAACCGATCCCCCAACTGCCGCAGGCTCCCAGGCTGGGAAAGCGCTCTGGGGCCCGGCCCCGCACACTGGGGACCCCCGCGCCCCCCCTGCCCAGGCCAGCCCAGATAAAAGTGAATTACAGGCTCTGTGCTGCCTCCCCAGAGCCCCCACGCCCCTGGGAGCATGAGTTGGGGGGGGCTCTGGCCCCAGGCCCTGCTCTCTGGTGCCAGCTTTGCTTCCCCCTTGCCCCACGGTGCCCGGCTCTGCCAGCAGTGTGGGCAGGGAGAGGAGGGCTGCAGCTGTCTGGGCTCTCCTGCCAGCTCGCTCCTGGGTCTAGGGTTTCATCTAGGGCCGGGCTTTGCCGGCCGTTGGCCCCAGGATCTTGTTTCCTTCTCCAGCTCCCAGCTGCAGTCGCAGCCCCCCAGCCTGGAAGCTGGCTGTCCAGCATGACTGGCCCAAAGGGAACGGGGCTGGCAGGCGTTTTGGGGAAGGATCTGGGCCTGAGGCAGCTCAAAAAGGGATCCCTTGGTCCTGTCTGGTGCTGCAGTGGCGCTGGAGTCCAGGGTCTCTATGGATGCGGCTTGTGGCTGCCCGTGAGGCTTGGCTTGGCCATGGGTGCAGAGCCTGCCGTGCATTGCATGTGCTGGGGAGGCCTGTGGCTTGCAGGGCCATCCCAGGGCCCCCTCCTCATCACAACCCCTCGCAGAGCTGCTTTGGGGAGCCCAACACTGCCAGCATGCCGGGAGCCTCCGTCCCCAGCCCTGCTCCCCTCTCTGCTGCACAAGCCCCCCGCTCCGGCACAGCGGGCAGAGACAGACAGCCTGCAGGCAGGTGTGAAACCTGCCTCCCTGGGAAGGATCCCAGCTGTCCCCTAATGTGCCAGAACCAATGCATTTCGCACAGCCCTGAATGGGGCATTCACGCATTGGAGGGCAAACTGCCCAGGCTGCCCACGGGAGCTGCCCAGCTCCCTGCTGAGACCAGGGCTGAGCATGGACGGATTCATGTGGAGGGGGCTGAGTCCCGGTGGGCTGTGTCCAGGTTTCCCCTCCCGCCCTTGCTCCAGGCTGGGGGGAATCGTATGGGGTAGACAGTGCCCTATGCCTGGCATGTTTTGCATGGCTCTTGCTTAGTGGGTGCTGCCCTTTCCGTGGAAAAGAGGGCCACACCAGTTTCAGAGAGTGAGGTGGGGGTGGGTTCATTAATCCTTAATGCCGGGTGGGGGGCACAAGGGGACACAGTGAGTGAGGACCCGCTCCCCCCTGCCATAGCCTCACTTTGTCCCCACTCACTTAGCAAGTGTGCTGTGCGTGCAGGCAACACATGGGTGCAGGCTGTGCCATGTCCATACCAGCTCAGCCCAGAGATACTTTCAGTGTCCTGGCCATTTTCAGCACTGTGTCCACCCACCTGCCCTGGCACAGAGGGCAGATCATCACCCCGTCCCCAGGCACCAGTGCATCCCCTGAGCTGCAGCAGCAGGTGCCAGCGGGCTGTGTCAGAACCAGCTCTGCTGGGCATGGGGCAGCTGTGGCCATGGCCGGGCAGGGAGGCAGCCCAGGGCATCCTGCAGCTCCACGACAACTGGAGGCGGTTTTTATTGTTTAACATTCTTGGTATTTTCTGTCAGGGCTGAACCAATTGTCCTTAATCCGCCAGGCTCTGCTGGCCAAACA